TACATTGGACATAATGATTACAGTGACGAGGCAGTTTTGGAAACATGACAACGAGCATTGAATACTGACACTCCTAAAAAAAAGCGTACTATAGGCGAGTTCGGATAGTCAGGGGCTGGAGCGGGACAAATTTTAGGGTGCCTTTAAATGGCATTTAAGCGTGTGAAACTGTCACTAATCGGACTAAACCGAACGCTAAAAGGGTTGTTTGGAGTTAAAAGTGTTAAAGGAGTTAACGGAACTTGGCAGACCGAACGCAATGGAAAATGTGAAGTTAATTTAGGATTGCGGAACGTGAAAATCCATATTGAAGAAATGAATCTTGGTATCATTTACAATCTTAATAAGGAAAGCGACAATAGTGATCCCGATTAAGACTGAATCTCATGCTTGATAATAATACTGTAAGTACTACATAATAAAAAAATTTATTAAATTCATACAGATTTTTTTATTTGCATTCCATTTCACCACAAAATCCCAGACTTAAAAAGCCAACAAATCTATTTCTTTTCATGAAAAATTATTAAAAACATGAAAATTGTAGGTTTAATGCTTCAAATATTAAGCGACTTTACTAGTGTACCTTTCAGCACAATGTACCCATTAAGTTGATGCTTTCATACTTAATCCAAACCAGTTGCACATTTGTGGAATAGCCTTTAGTAATATTTTGTTAGTAGTCGGATTAGTTATTTGTAGTAAAAATATTTGTCCATAAAATTATTTTCTAATGTTTTATAATTATTTTTGTATCTAGTGCGCGAAATGCTACTTTGGTGTATTTCGCGCACAAAAAAATGTTTCTCTACTAACATCAAAAAATGCATATCTTTTAAAATTGTTCTAAAATAAGAAATATGCTTAGCTTAATATAAAAAATAGTGCGGAACTGGCTTAAACTGTTTTTCCAAATCAAGTATAGTTACTGTAACTGGAAATAAAATGGCAGTTGTTGACAATTATTTTAGAGTGACTATTGCCGCGTTTGAATATCCACATCGGATGCATCTGAGATGTTGTGAATTTTTTATCATGTGATAGTGAATTAGATCTGAATGTAGATATAATAAACAAACGCTCTAGACTTTATCGGTCACGTGATTAAATGACAATGACAAGTTAGAAGTTTATATTCTTTAAATTTAACTTTTGAGACTGGAAAACAACCTAAATTTATATTTCTAAATAAAAATTAAACACACTAATCACTTTTATATTCACGCCTAGCTTAAATAAAGGATAAATCAATAATCTTGGCTTCACAGAACACCTACTTTCTGGCATGGAACGAACATCTCATTCACATCTCATTTCAAATCGAGGTGTAAAAATGTAATCTGGACGGCTACATCTGGGATAAACAAACGCAGATGTAGATGTAGTAGCTCGAGATGTAAAAAATGCATCGGATGTGAATTTTCAAACGCGGCATATATATTTGCTGGCGTCAGTTTTCTAGTGCCTGATATTTTTAACTGTAAAATAATGGAAATTTCGATCTATGATGAACTAAGCAGTACCCCACCTAATTTGATAGATGAGGCCAATTCGGTGATTTCAAATCTTTTACAGGAGAAATCGAGGCGCCAGTATGAAAATGCATATCAGCAATTTAAAGAGTGGTGTGCAGAGAAGTCTAAGAAGGTGAAGTTTTCCATGTTATGGGAAATATAATCTATGTTGAAAACAACACTTAATGTTAAAGAAAACGTGTATTTTAAGAAATTGACCATTCCATATTTGAAAAAATTGTCTGTTGGAAACCAACCTAAGAAATCTAAGGTATTAACTCGAGAGGAAGTTATCAATTCATAAGAGAGGCAGATGATGAAACCTATTTGATGGTTAAGGTAGATTGTTAACGATTGTTTAGGTAGATTGTTAATGATTGTTTTATTTGTTTTGTTAAATTACTAAATATACGTCATTGATTTTCTTTTAGGTTGATTTAACACGTTGACTGCCAACTACGAGATAACTCGTAGATTGCATTCTTGTCTAGGACGCCAACTACGAGTTATCTCGTTCTGTGTTTACTTGCCATTTTTGTGCAGCTACGATTAAACTTGAAATATATCAGTGCTAATATCGATAGATGGCTTCTGGGAAAAGAACAAAAAGACAATGCAGGCTTGCATGAACAGAAAATTAGTTTAAATTCAAGAAATAAAATAAAGTGATTAAATCAAATTATCATTTTGGGCCAGATGTCTCAAAATTGCCGTGGCAGTCAACGTGTTAATAGTGGGTATTTCGGGTACTTGCCGCCGTGAGGAACTCACTAAAATGACTGTCGATGACATAGAAAATAAAAATTCCATTTTGATTGTTAAAGTACCCGATACAAAAACGAATTTTAACAGTTTCAAATTTAGATTATATTGACATTTACCGAAAATATGCGGCTCTTCGTCCAAATTATGCTATCGATTGCTTTTGATGTATAAAACTAAGAAATGTTTTAACCAAGTTTTTGGAATATATTGTATTGGAAAGATGCCTAGCTTGATAGCAAAACCCCTAAAATTACCAAATTCTGATGCCTACACTGGTAATTGTTTTTGGAGAACTTCAGCTACACTTCTTGCTATTGCGGGGGTCGTTATATATGTGTTTTGACGATGGAAATCTTTACCGTGGCCGAAGGATACGTGGAAGAATTTATCAATAATAAATTTCAATTATCAAATAAAATTTTAGACTGAAATTTCAAAATCAAGTGCTGTCACCTTTACAGTAGTTGCCTCCAAGTCAAAAATGGATAGTCTTCTAACACCCAAAACTACAATATCACGAGCTGAATCTAAATTATCTGGTTTAGGAATAAATATTGGTTTGTGTACTGGCTGTACCATTAATGTTAACATTGTAAGTAATAAATAAAAATTAGGTAGTGTAAAATTTTGTAACAATTTGAAAAGTGTTAAACAGTCTTAATTATTGTTAAACATTTGGAATTAAATAATTTCTTGGATTTTTGCTTGATTAAGGACCAGAAAGGTCAAAATACAAAAATATGACACTTACATGCAGTAAGGGAAATATGTATTTCGCACACTATTTCGGGCACGGTGTTAAGGTAACGTAGGAAAATAAAAAAAGCCACTTCGCATATTTTATCAATGCGCGAACCTTGTGATTTTTTGACGTTTGTAGAAAAGTATATTTGCCTGATGATAAATATAACTTCGAAAACCAGTCACAATTTGAAAAAAAAAAAAAATACATATTTGTGAAATTCGAAAGACTTTTTCTTTCCGCAAATCCACAGTATCAATTGAGGTATGGTCTGTACTGTTTTGATTTCTTTTAAACATTTAATTTTTTTTTTTTTTTATCATGAATTCGATTATTTGAATAACCTTCAACAGAATTTAGTGCTTCCATACTATGTACTATCTAAATAAATGAAATAATCCAATGTATTAGAACAATGTAACCTTATTAATATATGAATAAGGATCATTTCCTGACCATGATTTTTTTTTTTTAACACTCTATTATACAAAAAACTTTACAGTATTGTACACTAAAATTAACTTACATCTACTAAAAGAATATCACAGAATAAAACGCCTTAAAAGGCGAAAAATTTTTTTGAGAATTTTCTTATTGTGCCTAATGAAATTTTTAACATTCTGTCTCTTCTTAACATATTAATAAATTCTGTTAAATCTTTAAAGCCTTCTAAGTTATTATATAATAGAGCACTATAAAACCATATCCAAACATTTGTATCTGAACTATTAGAATATTCAATTTGAAAAATATCTTTAGGGTCTCCATTTTGATTACATTGCAAAAACTTGTTTAAAATACGCTGTTTACACCAATCCCAAATGTTTTTAGACAAAATGCAGTCTTTAATACGGTGTGACGTATCGTCAAAAACATTGCATTCGCTACATATGTTAGAATCGGTAATACCGTGGCGGTGCGTTTTTGATCTTACTGCGTATATGTCATTTATCGCTTTGTATACTACAGAGCGCCACTTGGAAGGAATGTCATTGTTACTAATGACCTTCCAGACTGTTTTCCATTTTATCTTGGGAAATTTTTTTTCAATTGATGTTGTAATGTTATCTATTGCGTCTTTGTAAATTTGGTTCGTATTGACTGTATTATTTTGAATCCAATTGAACTTTTGAATGAATTCATAGTACTTTTTTAGACATTTGGGTATTTGTGAGCTCAAATTTTTATCGAATAATTTATTTAAAGTCGATTTATAAGTAATTTTATTTTTACAGTTTGTCCAAGAGAGTTGTTGGGTCTTTGCAAAAAGTGATTTAGCCTTAATTTCAAAACTAATTAAATTTAAACCTCCTTTTTTAAAAGGTAAATATAATTGGTCCCTTGCCACCCGGTATAAATGACCCCTCCATATATAGTTTCCTGTATACATTACGATTTTTTGAGCATGTAAATGGGTAACTGGTAACAATTGTGCAATATACCACGATTTTGAAAGGACATATATATTTATGAATTGAATTTTTTTAATTAAATCGAAGTTACGTGTGTAACTTAACTGCAGACAAGTGTTTATGTTCTTTATACTTTGTTCCCAGTTGGTTTTAATCATTGTATGCCCAAAATTTTTGATGATAGAATTTTATATAAATAAAAATTTCACTGGTTTATTCAGTGGTTTTTATTGTTTTTATAAAATTTAAGTACAGGCACTACATATGTTTCGGAAACACTATTCCATCTTTGGGGCCAGTCAATATTTAATAAAATATGCGGTCTATTACAAACCAGTGAACTTTTTATTTATATAAAACTTATTAATATCATTATTGTTAGATACTGATATTGTAAGTTTTAAATGATTTATATTTCAAACTAAATTATGTAGAATAAGTTTGTAATCAAATCTTGTGATTATTTTTACTGCGTGTTTCTAAGTCATATGCCCTTTAAACCTTATATCATTACAATACTCAAAAGAATAACTATCACAAAAAATATACAAACACTGGGTTTCAATTAAAAAAAAAAAAAAAAAAAAACTGTCACAAGGATGATAGCTAATGAAAATCAATATTCCTCACTCAATAGTACCCATAAAAAATCTATACAAATCGTTACTACGACGATTTTTTTGATAAAACTTTTAGTTTTGGAAAAAATTAGGTGTACCGACACATATTAAAAAGAAACCTGTATGATAGAGAACACTAAATCGTATCGTAATTCAAATATATAATGAAAATTAAAAATATATTTTCTTCGTCTAATAATTATAAAACTACAAAATTTGAAACTATTTTTATTAAAATCAAATTTCTCTAGGCTTGATATTTATGACACCATTCAAGTAATATTTTATTTAATACTTCACTGTTTTATAACACTGGCATTTTATGGTACTGGCTCCAAATTTTAAAAAACATAAAAAAATAAAATCTAAATTATAACTCAAAACTTAACAAAATCAAATTATTTTAATGGAAAGTCTTTTGTTATAAAAAATGCCAGTGACAGTTTATGATATACAAATTTGGAAAATTCAGTACATTAACTGTCACTAATTAGTCTTATTAATAAGTTTTATAATAGGGGGTTTTGAAATTAATTTTAGATAAATCTTACAAACAAAAATCAACAAACTTTGATATTTATGTCACTGTCATTTGTATATTTATCAATCAATCAAGTTATAGAGGTGTATTTAACCTTAAAAATATCTTATTATGTGAGCTTAAAAGGCTATTTGTTACTTAAAATTATCATAGATAATTTTTTTTCTCAAAAGTGGTTTGAAATACTTAAATACCTACATATTTTTAAAGCACATCATCCTAACAAGATTGTTTTAACTGTTTTATTTTAAGGTATTTTTTAATTTAAACTAAAATTGTCCATAATATAAACGAAATTCATTTTGTAACAATGGATGGAGTTATACGAAAAGGAGTTTAAATTGCAACTGATAGAATTCAGTCAATATCATGCTGAGAATGCCTGTCTTCAGAAATATCAACTTTTACAACAAAGCACCAATAGTAAACATGTTGAAATGGTGTGTTCTAAAATAAAAATTATTCAGTATTTAACATAATTCAGTGCATCTGTTGGAGCCCTATTTTAAAAGTATTTATTAAACAAACCTGATACTTTTATATTTAAATAAAAGTCCATAAATCATTACTCTAGCTGCCTCTCAGAAGCCTATACAGATGATCTGAAAAATCTTCACAAGCCTTCACACTTATTTCACTAGTACTATCCATGTTTGGTGTAGGCGGCCTCTGTATAACATTATAGTCCACAGTTTCTGTAAGTTGTTCACACTTTCTTTTTGATCTGGAATCACATGATGTTTCTCCATTGGCCATGATTTGACGTGCTTTATAAATAGGCTCGTATTCTATGAGTTGCGCACGAAAACCTTCATTGGGGTCTACAGTAGCTCTTTTAGCTTTTACAAATTGTAGAGCTTCACTAAAAATTGAATAATTTCATATATTATTAAAATATCCAAATAAGGGATTCTATTTATTAAATACCATCAGTCTACAAAAAAAGCTATTTATGCAACCTCATTTAATAAGACAATGATTTTCTTATTACTTAAAGGCTGTTTATCAACACACTAAATGAATTACTAAATTAAGTTATTAATTCAGTTGCTAAATTTAGAAATTAAAATAATAGTCACTAAATTTTTCTGTCTCCAATGATGCCAACTTTTTAATTTAAGTATAAATGCATACACAATGGCGTAATTTCTCGTGAAATAAGACAAATGGTAGATGGTGATTTTTATTATGAAGTTGGCAGATTCAAGGTTTACTTTGTCCGCCCGTCCGATGTAACGTTTTTGTTCGCAAGACAAGTCAAAACAGAATGATATCAACTTGATAATTTCAGAAAAAATCAAGCTCTATAAGTGGAGGAAGCCTACTAATTTGAAAAAAAAAAAAAAAATAATAAAAATGGAGAGTTAAGGGGGGTTGAAATATTAATACAAATCTTTACTCAAAAACGAAAAATGATACCAACTTGAAATTTTTAACAAAAATCAAGCTCTATAAGGGGAAGAAACCCTTTAATTTTGAAAAAAATCTAGGATTTAAGGCGGGTTGAAATTAAAAAAAAATCATCAATCAAAAACTAAAAGCGATATCAACATGAAATTTTTAGTAAAAATCAAGCTCTAAAAAGCGACGAAGCTTATTGATTCTGAAAAAAAAAATGAATAAAAATGAGGGGTTAAGGGTAGCTGAAATATTAAAAAAAAATCTAACTCAAAAACGAAAAATTATATCAATTGAAATATTTAGTAAAAATCAAGCTCTATAAGGGAAAGATCCCATTGGATTTTTTTTAGGGGTGAGAGGCGAGGGGACTCACCTAAAACAAGCACCCCGGCGGTTAAATTACAATTATTTAAGTTTAAAATAGTAAAAAAAAATAATACAAACAAATACCCCCTAATTTAGCCAACCGTGTGCCCATCAAAGTCTTAAAAGGGATTAAAATAAGGGTAGCCCGTTGTTATGTTCTACAAAACCGGGCGGCACAGGTAAAATTATCAAGTTCCCACACCTTTTAACTGCCGGCTTTTTAAAACTCCCTAAAATTTTGATTTATTACTCCGTGTCGATTGCGATTCTACTATAACATGTTTTGACTTGTTAGGTAAAATAACTCACTGGAATATAGAAGAATAATAGTAGTTTGTGCAATAAGAGTGGATATTGACAATCCACTCGAGTTGTACAATATATTTTTTCTACGACCCACTAATGAAAATCTAAAAATTCAAAAAAAAAATTTGAGTTATTAAGATAAAACTAATTTTAAAATAATTTATAAAATAAACATGAAAAAAAAAAAAGAAAAAAAAAATCATTTAATTAGTCCCCAGCCAGGAATCGATCCTGGACTTTTCGCGTGGAACGCAGAAGCTCTGTTCACAGCTGCTTTTATTTACAATTTAAGTTTAAATACTCGTATATAATTAATTAGTCTCATATAGTTTGATTAAAAGTACTTTTTTTTTTCAAAAAGTGAATTTACAGGTCTGTAAATATTTAAAGATGCTTCATGAATTAGGTTATTAATGTGACACTATTTTAATGTGGTTGTTTGTTTATTTGTATATTTATTTTTAGGATGCCATAATTGCAAATTTAAATACAACCACTAATAAATTATACAGATTAAAGTATTTTCTCAATAATTCTTCATGGAAAAATAATGAATCTGTGGAAATATCTATGATATACAGCCCTACAAAAATATAAATTTGTTAGATTTCTCAAATTCTGATAATAACAGCAAATAAGTACTTTAGCCAAATTTTTGGCAGAATAAGAATTGTTTTAAACTTACTGTTAGCAAGGATTAATGGCTAAGTGGTTAGTAATATCACTTCTATGTTACTCTAAAAGAAACTATTGTGCAATTTTTAAAAGAAGAGAACTAGGTAAGTGTCAAAACAATTCAAATTAAACATAAAAAACTGAAGGAAGTCTCTCTGTAATGCCATCTACTGGTTAAGGAACTAAGCACATTAATCTCAATTATTAGTTTTCAAATTTTAAAATGGCGCTTGGTTCATTTTAGAGTAATGATATCCAATTGAGGTATAAACTCAATCAGAGGGGAATATTACTAAAGTATGTAAGAATTAACTATTAGGTACTATGCTCAAAATATATTTTTTTTTACCAACTTTAAAATTAAAAAAAGGCTATATTTTATAAATACATTGTGTTCCAATTTGGATCCATGAGATTTTTTTAATACAATTAAAAAAAATAGCACCTAGAAATGTTAAATTGTTTAAATTTTGATTACAATCTTGTTATTAATGAATTGTATTTTAATAAAAAAGTACTTAAATCATGCATTATTAGGTTTTCTCCAACAATAGTACATAACCATTAGGAATTTATCTGCACATGGGTAGTACGAAAAAAATAGCACCTAGAAATGTTAAATTGTTTAAATTTTGATTACAATCTTGTTATTAATGAATTGTATTTTAATAAAAAAGTACTTAAATCATGCATTATTAGGTTTTCTCCAACAATAGTACATAACCATTAGGAATTTATCTGCGCATGGGTAGTACGAAAAAAAAAGGAGTTAAATTCGGAATGGTTCTGTACTGCTGTTGGAACAAACCTATTTTCTTGGAAATTGCTAAATAATCTAGAAAATTCCATTTGCTTTTGCATAATTTTAATATAAAAAATAACCACACTGTTGAACATTATTAACAAAAATTGGTATGGAATTGTCTTCTCATCCCTCTTAAACTTTTTCAATGAATGAAAAATTTTCTTAAAGATGGACCATCATTCAAAATGGTAAGTTGGCATAAAATTTAATTAGAAAAAAGTTTCTCTAATAACTTTTTAATATTTCAAAAAGGACATTTTTGAATTTTTCTAAAAAAATTCCAAATTTAGCAGCTAACTAATGTCAGTGGCCAATTTTAATATGGGCTAATTTGTTTTTAAAAAATATGCAGAGGTAATTGCCTAAGTTTTTCTTTTACAATAGTATTAGGTATTATAATTATCAAATATGGATCTAACTTTATGGCACACTGTACAGTCATAAGTACTATCAAAGAAGTCGTCAGATTAGACAATAATTTATGTACTCATTTGTAAATAAAAATTGATTATTTATTGCAAAATAAAATATATTTACCTTGAGCTTAAACCAAACTTCTCCATGACATAAGCTAGAACCAGGGTAGCACTTCTGGAGTTACCTTCATTACCATGTACCAAAACCTTACAATTATTAGAAAGAGCATCATCTATGAACTGACGCACTTTGGGAAAAAATCTAATAATGTTCTCAGTTACATTATCAGCTATGTTTAAAGTAAGATATGCAATATTGGGATCATTATTTATTTCAGGCACAAAATGTGCTTCATATTCCTGTCGAACACAAATAACATGGTTAATGCCATTTTCTAGAAGAATATTCCTTTGTGCAGCTGTAAAGGGACCTAGGTAGACTCCAGGAATAATTTCTTGCATGGTTTTGGATTCATGTATTTGGCGGGTGGTGTAAAACAGTCTTTGGTTCAATATTGACGTTATATTATTACTTATAACATACTAAAATTGAAAAAGCCATATAAGTACAAACAATATTAGGGTATCTAGTTAATTAATTTAAATAAGATTATGAAGTAAAGAATTAATATATTCTTGTAGATATTTACTCTCCTTTAATGCATATTGATATTAGGTGGAAAATAATTCTTAAGTAATCGAGCTTAATATGCGAAAATTGAAGATATTTAATAAGTACTAACCTCATCATTTAGGAAATTCTGCGAACTAACATCGATCATTTTCTGCAAAAACTAAATCTAGTAGTTAAAATTTAGTTTTGTACCTAAATGTACATGGTACACTAAATTATAGACTGTTTTAAAGGTAGAAATTTGTTAAAAACCCAACCTTTTTCACCCTTCGCCATCAATTTTACAAAAATGACGAATGACTTTGACATTGACAATAGATAGTGACAACCTGACATCTGACATTGAGCGTTTCATCTTCTCAAATATTTTTATAAGGTCTTTTCCTTTGCATCGACAGTGTAGCACTGAGCTACGTTACTTCTGAAAATGTCGTTCCATCCATACAATTTGTATAAATGGAACGATATTTTCAGAAGTGGTGTTAGCTCAGTGCTACACTTTCGATGCAAAGGAAAAGACCTTAAGCTGTTAAAGCCACCGACCTTGATATTAAACTGGACATAAACCCAACTCCTAATTTCTAAGCAAAGATATATGTTTCTAAGCCGACAAGGGTGAAAAAAACGGTCGGTGCGCATGACAATTTGTGCGCCAGACTGTCAATTTTAAGCATTTACGTCAAGTTTTTCACGGGCGTACTATGATAAATTATATTATTTTTTATTAATAACGCCCTATTTTAATAATTATTACTATTTCATTAGAATACTAATACTTCTACACTATGGAGTATTAGACTACTAGTACAATCCATAACCTACATAGAACACTAGGCTAATGACCTTAGATGTTGAAGCTGTACACTAAAGAAAAAAAAAAACATTTGTTTCAGCTGCGTATTAATCAAAAATCATTTTTAAGTGATTTTCATAGGGCGCGGTCATTTTGAACCCTGTGACACAGTTTACAGCTAAAGAATCAGATCGCTCACTCTGCGTCGGCACTTTGGATCTCAATGTTTCAGTTTATACACTGTGCAACTCGGATAATACAATATATGAAAACCGCCTATAATAAAACAGCAGTCTTCTGCGTATCCTGAATTTGTATCCCTGGAGTGGATGTTATTTTGGAACTTTCAACTGATCCGAGTGAGCTAACTGATTCTTTAGCAATAAACTGTGACTTCAAAAATAATAGGTCTTTTCCTTTGCATCAAAAGTGTAGCACTGAGCTACACCACTTCTGAAAATATCGTTCCATTTATACAAATTGTATGGATGGAACGACATTTTCAGAAGTAACGTAGCTCAGTGCTACACTGTCGATGCAAAGGAAAAGACCTATTATTCACTGACACTGACAGCAGCAAGCAAAATATCAGGTGCGTTCTCGGTGCGTTTTAATCATCCGCTTCTGCTTCCGGAATTGTCGGTTTAGTCGTTTTAACCTGTCAGAATAAAACAAGAAAACCGACAATTCCGAAGCAGAAGCGGATGATTAAAACGCACCTATTAAAAATATTGCGCCAACATGTAGGCAACACGTAATAAGGGTTCAAAATGGTGGAGTTTTCTATCTCCTTTTAAAAGGCACTCAGAAAGCTGCGCAGTGCGACCATTCTCCGTATAGTAAAAGAAAATCAAAGTATGTGGTTAGAGTAAACTAACCATAAAGTTTTGAACTCAACATGTTACGTGGTTACGTGTTGAAAAGAGAGAGACATTACATAAGAATCACATTCTGTCGAACGAAGATAGAAGCTTCTGAACACGTGCTTAATTGAAAGATAAGAATCCCACTGCAGAACTCAGTTGAGTTGGACTGGGTAAGGTCCGTATTTATAAACAGAACTCAGCTGAGTCAAACTTGGGTAAGTCGTCCTTGAACGAAAATCGAAATTCGGTTATATCCATAGGTTATATCGCGTGCATTTAGAGATGGGTAGTTTCAAATCCGTAAATGTACATAAAAGTTACATATTTGCTAATATCCATCTCTAAATTCCAGTTTTACACCAGAACCACCTGGAACTTTAGAGACGTTGTAACCGAACTTCGATTTTCGTTCAAGGACGACTTACCCAAGTCCGACTCAGGCCCGTATTTATAAACAGAACTTACGTGAGTTGGACTTGGGTAAGTCGTCCTTGAACTAAAATCGAAGTTCGGTTACAACGTCTCTAAAGTTCTAGGTGGTTCTGGTGTTAAACTAGAATTTAGAGATGGATAATAGCAAATCTGTAATTGTTATGTACATTTACGGATTTGTTACTACCCATCTCTAAATTCATGCGATATAACCGAACTTCGATTTTCGTTCAAGGACGACTTACCCAAGTCCGACTCACGCATAGATTACTAATGTGAATAGATGGGAAACTCAATGGTAATATTCTGAGTCGATGTGCTGCCATCTATCAAATTGGAGTGGTACTAAAATTCAATATGGCCGCTTAGCGCCGGCTTTTTGAAATTTAACTTTCTGCTAGTCGCGCAAAAATATAATGAAGAAAATCGAACAAAAAAAAAAATAAATTGGCAAAATATTTGACTAGTTTCAAATCATAAAACAACCATATTGACTGTTTTGTGATTTGAAACTAGTCAAATATTTTGCCAATTTATTTTTTTTTGTTTGATTTTCTTCATTATATTTTTGCATTAATTTCAAACTTGAAATAAAATGTAACTTATTTTATTTATTTTTTTTATTACAGTAAATTAACCCGCATCATATAATTTGTCTATTTAAACAGGGAAAAAGGTTTTCTGTAACAAACTCGACATATTTAAGTGCTCAAGACCAATATAACAGTTTTGCAACTTGGAGTGTCAATAAGTTTGAAAAAACTGAAGCATCATCCTTTTGGTGTCTTACAATCAAGGCGAATTTGAGGGTGGATAAAATTTGCCATATGCTTATTGAGTCTACTAGTTAAGTTGAGGAACATTTCTTCATTCGATATTGTTTTATTGATTTATTTGTACAGCACCTGTAGTTATCAAATTCTTATTCATCATCTGAGCACTGTGATAAATGAATTTAACTTTCGAGCTTAAATTAAACTTACACACGTTTGGACCTTTGCAGATTTTGGGGTGTTTTCTTGTTTGATGTCAATGGCATTGAATCAAATTTTGATATTGATGGCTAAGGCTCAAATATTTCATCGATCTACAGGGTATTTTGAAGAGCCAACATTTTCTTTATAACAAATGATCATTTAAAAACTGAAAACAAAAAGAAATTTAAATAACAAACCAATTATTTTAACAATGAATCAAAAACAAGTTTGTAAATATTACTTACCATTGATATGCCAGTACAAGATGCATTTTTCTTAAGACACTTATTACAAATTGTATGTTTATCCTTAATATGACGACCGCATATTTAATACGTGGTATAAATTGCATCACTACCTATTGGTAGTGATAGTGGTAGTGATATTTCTGGGAGTGCTTCATTGTTCGTTGCTAAAATCCATGTTCCCATCTCTTGAAAACATGCTTAAAATTGGAAGGTGTTGAAAAATAAATCTAGATGAATTAAAATTCAATACACCTTCAAATGCGACAGCCATTTTAATTTTTTCAAGTATGAAGTTTTGTTGACAAGCTGACAACTGACATGACATTTCGATACGAGCGCCATCCCGTTAATTGGAGTGGTACTAAATTAACGTCCTCATGTTTTTCCATTTGAGTTACCAGCCCCTGGACTCACGTAAAGGCTATATGTCACGATACTAAATTAAGTACTAAATTTAGCACTAAATTAAGTTATTAATTTAGTACTAAATTTAGAACTAAAAATATTTTTTTTCCGTTTGCAACGATACCAATTTTTAGTACTAAATTTACTATAGGCGCACGCGCATTGACGTATTAATTCGTGAAATTAGCAGAGAAATGAAATATTCTGTGTGAAACAGACAAGTGAAGTAAATGGTGTTTTTATTATCAATTTGACACTAGTTGACTTGACAACAACCAAATACAGCATAATAACCACGAAAAAACACAATAAAACCTACAAAATCAAACAAGCGAACTTTATTCAAGGCGATAATGTAAAATTGTCGCTAATTAAAAATAAAAGGGTACAGAAAATACCGTCGTGTCAACTTTTTCTATGAAAAATTTCTGCGCAACATTTCGGCGCACTTTTAGTACTAAATTTAGTAGAAAATAGAACAAGATCTAATTAATTAATTAATGACTTTTTTAGTACTAAATTTAGTACTAAATTTGCTGTTTGCAACGTGAATTTTTTTAGTACTTAAAAAATGCATTAATTTAGTTCTAAATTTAGTACTTAATTTAGTATCGTGACATACAGCCTTAAGTTCTGTTTATAAATACGGGCCCTAAAGAAACGAAGACGTAAAAAAGGACAAAGAAAAAGAAGAAGAAGAAGAAGAATTGCGGTTAGGTTGTTTTTAAAAATAAATATTTTGGACAATTTAAATTTTTACTGAATTTTTCGTTGTTATAACATGACTACGCTAAGGCCATTTACTTGCGATGATATGTATAAATTTAATAATGTGTAAGAAATAAAAGTACTTAAAATATCAATTCCAAATAATTGTTTTTACTTTTTTCAGAAATCTTGATCCTTTGACAGAAACTTATGGTTTATCTTTTTATATGCAGTACTTGGCTCATTGGCCGGAATATTTTCAAGTTGCTGAATCTCCAAGTGGTGAAATTATGGGATACAGTAAGTGGTTTTCCTTAAAGCTATTCTTGTATCAATATCAATAAGTTATGAATGATCAAAAAACAATTTTGTAGTAATGGGTAAAGCTGAAGGAATAGGTGAAAATTGGCATGGGCATGTCACGGCATTAACAGTGTCTCCAGATTTTCGTAGATTAGGATTGGCTGCATCTTTAATGAATTTCTTAGAGGACGTTTCAGAGAAGTAAGTTGTACATTCCGTAAATAGGTACTAGATAAATCTTTATTATGAACACTTCTTTCTTTGAGTATATAAATTTATATAAATAACTCAGTCTAGTAACAAAATGGCATATTTACCATCTGAGCAATCCAGTTATTTGCTTGTTTTATTGAATAGAGTAAGTTGGTTTAGCCACATTCAATGGTGGGGAAACAAATGATTTAAAGAGAGGCGATGGAAGGAAAATAGTAAAATCAAGTGCATGACATTATTATTATTGGAAAAATTAGAAATCAACAGGAGAGAAATTATTCAAAATAGAAAATTAAATTGAACATGGTCATATACTAAGCAAAAACTTGAAAATATGTAGGTAGCTTAGGAGAAAAATGAGTAACCCCTCAATATTGAAATAAAACAATCAACCTTAGTTTGAAATCCATACTTATAGTGTGTCACAAAAATCACTAGGAAAACTTTTTTATTGTTATTTTTCAGAAAATGTAATTGTTGATAAAAGTTGTTGGATGACCCAAACCCAATATTTACTTTATTATATTAAAATTTTTGTACCAAATACAAATGAGGTCAAAAATGGGCATTTAACTCAATAGTACCTACCCTTATTTAAAAAGACCCCAATGATAATTAAAAAACTTGTTTAGAATCAATATTTTCAATGCAAAAAACAAACTTATATTGATAAATATACTATTTTTTAGGAAACGAGCATATTTTGTTGATTTGTTCGTGAGAGTGAGTAACAAAGTAGCAATCAATATGTATAAAAATTTGGGTTATATTGTTTATCGAACTGTTTTGGAATATTACTCAGGTGATCCTGATGAAGATGCTTATGGTAAGTTTATTAAACAGGTAAAACAATTGAGGAGCTCCTGAGAAGAATGATGAATGTGCAAAAACTTTGAATTGGAGAGAATTGAATTTTTAACTTTCGAACACTGTCTCATAGAAGGTGTAAATATAATCTTAACTTAGTATTTACAGCAGTGCAGTATCATGTTTAAGTAATTAACAACAAGAGTAGGATATTATATAATAAAACAAACTGTAGAATTTCTTCTTAGAATAAAAAATAAAAACCCTAATTGATATGTTCACCGAGTGTTTTGTCACTTAGTTTTAAGCTTCAAGAGTCTGCCAACAATAATTTAAAATACAACTGGGTTGACCAGTTACACCGTGTCTACTCAGCTATTGCGATTTAGATTTAAATGTTAAAAATATTAACTCGATCACAAAACAAACCATACTAACCCGCTACCTAAACAAACACCCTGGAAGATCAAAATAAAATATTGCTCAGCATTTGTCACCCTACATATAAATACTTTTTACAAAACGAATTTAATAAAATAAATAATTTATGCAGTACTACTTATTAAGCGAATTGTGAACAATTATGAACAGCCAAACTGAAAAACTTTATTTGGTTGTTAAAAACAACCATCATAAAATAGACACAAACGTCATCTGCTCAGTTAGCAATTGTTTAGTACCAGAAACTATAGTTATTTTTGTATTAATTGCGTAAAATGAGTGTTTTTTTAATGACACATGAGTGTTAATTTTCTCGAATCATGAAAACACGAATTTTATACAGGAAATACAAACAACATTTTTTGTACAACTGTCAATGCGAATTTACATCGTCTGAAATATATTAAAAATAAATACTTCAAATACATTTTGACGTGGTTTTTTGTCCCGATAAGTTATCGCTTTTAAACGACTGTTGTCTTGAAAATATTATTCAATGTTTTCAGTAAAATCGTATTCAAAAATTTTTCCTGTCTGAAAAAATAAGTCCAAAATAACTAAATACTTCTCTTTTCCATACATGTTATCCTTAATGTTATCAATACTTCCAATACAATTTTTCAGCATCTACTGGTGTTTCTGTGTCATTACTATAGAAACGGTTTGTTGTCATGCTGCGTGTTTGATTGTGTTTGCTTCAATTTCAAGTTATTTTCAAGAAGATGGATGTTGATTATGATAGTGGTAGTGATACCCCATCAAATATATCTGAAAAAGCAAATGCAGTAGTATCTAATATGTTACCGGCCAAATCCAAGTTAGTATATGAGAAAACATATGACCAATTTCATGAATGGTGCGACAAGAAACATGTAAAAAAGGTTTCTGAAAATGTGCTTATATGCTATTTTGAGGAAAAATGAAAAATTATAAAACCTATGTTATGGAGTGTCTACTCAATGTTGAAAAGTACATTGAATGTTAAGGAAAATATTGATACAAGGAAGTTTTCAAAATTGGTCCTGCTCACTAAGAACAAAAGCATCAGATACTGAGGAAAGAAAGTTTTATCAAGGAATGATATCAATAAATTTATTCAAGATGCTGATAACGAAACAAGTTTACTTTATAAGGTACAAATATAATTATAATTTTGTAAAATTAGTAGTAATTTCAATATTATTTATTTGTAGGTTGTCCTAATTTTTTGTATCAGCGGTGCTTGTCGCCGTGAAGAATTATTACATATAACTATTGATGTCATTGAAGATGCTGGATCTATATTGATTATCAGACCTATTGCGCAAGAACGTTTACTGTTTCAAATTCTGATTATATTGAGATATACCGCAAGTATAGAGCACTACCGCCTCATACAAAAAGTAACAGATTATTTTTGAAATATTCCAGAGGAAAATGTATTAACCAATATGTGGGGATATATAAAATAGGAGAAATTCTCAGCTTGATTGCAAAATGGCTTGGAAAAGACATGTATAAAAGCTACACAGGTCACTGTTTCAGGAGAAGCTCTGTAACTCTTCTGGCCAATGCAGGGGCCAACATTACATCTATAAAACGTCATGGTGGCTGGAAAACTTGCCTCCGTAGCAGAAGGATATATAGAAGATAGTTTGAACAACAAAATTGAGATTTCTAATAAAATATTGAGTTGTCCATCTTCATCCAAACGAATTAAAATATCTGATAAAATTGTGGAATCAACTCTTCAAGAAATATCTAATGTTTCTAATCAGCAGCTACATGGAACATGTTCAGGAATTTATATTGGAAGTAATTGTTCAAACTTTACTATCAATTATTCCAATAAATGAAATTGTTTTTATGATTAATAATTGACTGTTAAAAATAAATCCTTTAAAAAGTAATATTTCATGTTTATTTTGTGAATTATTTTGGCAGTGAAAAAGTAATCATTTGCGCATCAATAGAGATGCAGAAATGTCAAGTTCTTTTGAGTTTTACAAAAAAATATTTTGCTTTTGATTTTTGATTTTTTTTTTATATATACACCTATTTAAGGCGGAAAGAAAGATGAATGTGCATAAAATTTAAACTGAAGAAAATCGAATTTTTAAATTTAGGTCGCAATGTCTCATGGAAAGAATAAAAAATATATTCTGAACTTAGTATTTACGGTCTAATGTTTCAGTAATTACCAACAAGAATAGGCACAAAGTTTTTTTTATTTAAATCGGTAACAAAAAATGTATATGATGTATTTTTGGAAATTATTGAAATAGGACAGATTATCATAAAAACAGATTCTTGTTTTTCCATTTTAGTATTGGCAGAGGTATGTATGCGATGTTAGCTTCTCTACAGAGACGGCCATGATTTCAATAAAAAGTCACGTTCATCTGTAATCCATCAAACGCCAGGTACACTCATCTTTTTTTCCCGCAATTGACTAAACTATTTTTAGCTATATATGGCGACCCTTATCAATATTTCCGTAAATGTTTACTAGGCGTAATAGTACATACAAATATCTATAGATTGCGCAATATATCTCGATTTTCGTAAATTTTGCACCTTCATCCTTTTTCTCGCCAGCTCCTCAATTGTAAATTTCAATATATCATTAAAAAAGAAAATAATAGAAATTAGGCTATCAATGTTTTAAAATTTTGAAATAAACTGTTTATATTTTGTTGATGAATTTTGGTTTCCATTTTGTTTAACATATATTGTTTTTTAGATATGCGGAAAGCTTGCTCTAGGGATGTCAACCAAAAATCTGTTGTACCTTTGACCCACCCTGTTAGGCCTGAAGATGTTGATTAAAACATACAAGGAGATTTCATTTTAAAATATATGACATATTTTTTATGTTGATCAAGTGCTGTACATTTTTTTTGTAATTTCTTTATATTAATAGTTATTTATTTGATTCATTTTTATCTGGAAAAGTTGTTAGTGCTTTTATACCTACACATAAATAGAGATTATAAGATTTTTGCGTGGATTTTTGTAATCATGTTTTTTTATTTTATTTTTGTTTTGTTTTAATAGTAAAATGAAATTAGTAGAACGATATGTTAAGTAAAAAATGTGAAAAATATCACCTTTCTTACTTTTTCATCAGAGATTCTGTTCGGATTTTTTTTAAACTTGTCCTGGCTGGAGACGCTTTCATCTGGTAACCTTAAACACACCTACTAATCAGGTAAGGCAACAAAGACTGCTGAACCCTGTAAATTGTGCTTGATGGTCTTTGGTGACTTGTCAAGGAAGGTTTCAAGGCCTTGTGGTGTTCAAGTCATGGACATTTCCCCTCACAGTTAATGTGCTTTCTAAGACAATCCTATTGAAAGCTGATGAATAGGCAGAGATTTATGGCAAATCCGTCTAAAATTGAACTCTTTCTAGTTTTTAGAAAAAGAAAAATGAAAGTCTTCAAGTACAGCCCTGCACGGGTCGGTGCGTTTCGGTCGGACTGCGGCCCGACCCGCCCCGGCTGTCGGGTTGGGCCGGGCCGGACCGATGATTTTTAAAGCTAAGCTGGGCAAAGCTAAGTTACTAGTTATGCACCATCTATATATTAAATAACTAAAACTAACATTTTAAGAGTAGTTAAATAATTTAATATATTCAATTTATTTATTAATTCATCCAGCGAAAGAATCACAGCGTTATGTATTGGCTGGCCTATTTAAAATCTGGATCGGATCAGGCCGGGCCTATCAATTTCTTTTTAATAGAGGATTCGGGCCGGGCCGTAGTGCTTAACTTTCGTACTCGGGCCGGACCGGGCTCGTGCAGGCATCTAGCTTCAAGGAACCATCTATTTTCATCAAGATAATTGAACAATCAAAAATGATCAAATATTTTGGAGTTATGTTACAAGAAAGTACCCCATGTTATGATATGTGTAGGGTGTCAAATATACTGCGACCTAAAATACCTATTGGCTTAATGCCTATAACGACCCTTCCAATCCTATTTTCATAAGCAATTTTAAGATTTTGAGTGGCTCCAGCTGGGTAGGTCGCCTTTTATTTGATATTTTACCAACTATAGCGCCTTTCGATTCTATGGTGACTACACATTCAGTCAGGTGGTTTCGTCGTGGCTTTTGAATCGGTAATGCCCGGTAAGGATACCCTGTATCTGTAACGTGTGGAGGGTGGGTTACCCAACGGCACTTAGGCCTCACTGGACCCATTGTGACACCTAGCTCGTGAGCCAGCCTACAGATTAATGCAGTTAACAACGTCGTCAAGAGGTCCTTATCTTATATCGGCCGATACTCGCCGAACACAAATCTTCAAATAAATGAAAGCGTCGGGCAATCGTAGAGGATATTCTCGACGGTCTCATCTTCTTGTTCGCACCCCCTGTAGGGTATACCCTATTACTATATGTAGCCTGTTCTTGCTCAGACATATACCAGCTTACGATATTTTCTGGTTATAGTCACCCAAAAGCATCTTAGCCCCAATATTGTACTATTGATGATATCGCAGAATGGCTAAGATCGAACAAAGGGCGTTTGAGCACCTTTCCTTGCATGATTAAGTGCAATCTCATCATTCTTAACCTCTCGCTCTGTCTCGGGACCCAAGTAACTATTTTCCTTTCAGTTTTTTTAGACTTTCAGATCATTTTTAGCTGATTACATAAGAGCTCAGCACTTTGGTGGCTGTTCAGCTATTGGGCATGATGACAACCTCCTCTCTGCAATAATTTCGATCGATGTTGAACTGCTACATTTCTCAATAGCGTGAATGTCCGCTTGGAAGATGCTTGGGTATCTACCCAATATTTCGGCGTACTCGGTTCTAGGCCGATACCGTTGAATTTTATGCTTTTCTGTTGCAAACATGATTGATTCTTGGCTCTACTCTTTCTTGTAGTCCCCAGCTCTGTAGGTTTGAAGGTTTCCACAAACACAAAACTATTTATCATTTAATCCTTGGACAAATTCTTTGGACCTGGACCCAATAGACTTCTGTCTGATTACTCCGTTCCTCATCATTTTATAGCTTGTTCTTTTTGCCATGTTTCCTACCACTAAAATGTAGAAGCGTGAGGATTAAGATCACCTCACTTGCTACCGTGGGACAGGTTCTCATTGCGCAGGTAACTTTGAGATATATTAACTCTCGTAGTAGCTAAGCTAAAGCGCCCCGTTAATGATGATTGGTCTTTCTATTGCTGTAAAGATCCATTGCAAAGCGTTCTGGTTACACTCCCATTTTTTTGCGCAATGTTCTTGAATACCGTCAGAGCTTTTGTGGCCTTATTTATTACTTCCTTCTCCTGTATATTCCAGTGAAGTTTGTTGTATATGGTTAGGCTTAGATACTTGGCCTCTTTTTTCCATTCTATATCATCTATCCCGTCTATTTAGACGGTTTTGAGATGTACTCCTTTTTTTTTTAAATAAAATGCTGCGTGCTTTTTTGGTGGGGTTTATACTAAACACTAACTGTAGGAGGGTGTGCTGAGGTCAATCAATTTGCATACAAGTTTGTCTACGTTAAGGATCCACATTAGTAGGAATATAACTCCGTGTGGACAGCCTCTGGTCATGCAAATGGAGATTGTGTTCTGCCCTATGTCTGTCGTTCTAGTAGAAAGCAGCTGATACTTTAATCTGGATGTGGTGCTATCTACTCCTTTTTATTCGAGTTCCCTTTTGAAAGTACCCCAAATTTTGTTATTTTTATGGGCGCTAAATCTCTGTAGATTTACACAAATGAGGGAGCTGTGGTCAGTGCCTCTAGCAGACCGTCTCTGGCATTCACTATATTTTGGTAGAATTCCTATAATTTAACACACTTTATTTTTCCTGACCTAAGTACCCAGACAGCACACCAAATCCTTTGGATATCTACTGAACATCCCAATATCCACTGAATGTCCAGTCCATGGTGGATATCTATTTTATATCCATAAAATGTAATTTATAGACATGCAAATGTCCATAAATAATAGTAATTATATAGCAAATTATTAAAAAATTACGCCATTGTGGCTAATAGTACCGTTCAGATATTTAAATTTAATTTTTTTAAGGTGTATTCAATATCCCATGGACATCCACATATATCAAAGTCTTAGCGCGGACGCAAACCATCGTGGATAACTACTAGATGTAATTTTTGATTTTGCTTCCTAAGTATAGATGGCGATACCACTTTCGTATCTACTCATGCTCAACCCTCCATAATTGAGTTGATCGAACATTTTTTTGCAATAAGACTCTATTAGAGATTGGAGTCGAGAATTTCCATTTATTGCTGAAGAGTCCTAATAAGGATGACTTTTTCCTTAGTGGGCAAACTCAAAGACAGATTGTTGGAAATATTTATCTCTATTTTCTTTCGACGTTATCATTCATTTGGTTACTTATGAATGTCTACTAAAGATACCTATAAAATATTTTGCTGAATATCTGAATTCTATATCCTGGGATATAGACGGACATTTGGTTGGATATCCATATTTGGATATTGGATATCCACAAAATATATTCTGTGGATATCTCTGGGATTTCTTGTATTGTCTGGAAGATACTAATTAGATATTTTGCTGAATATCCATAGGATATCTTCTATATTCTGGATATAGACGGACATTTGGATATCCATATTAGATCCACGGAATATTTCTGATATCCTGTGGATATATTGGATATCCACAAAAGATATTCTGTGGATATCTTTGGGATTTGGTGTGTTGTCTGGGTACTTTTGTTCTACCACTTTTTCGCCAAAATTGTCGATGCTGTACAAGTAATAGTTTTGTAAAATTAAAGCACTTTTCTAATTTGTTGAAACACATCCACATTATTTTATTATACACTTGCCTTAAAAATCGTCTTGTGTATGAACGTTTTAAACTTTTATCTGTCTAAGCAGGCATTCCCAAAGATTTAATGGCAGCCAGCAAAAATTTTGAAACATTTATAATAATAATAATAATAATAAATGGTCTTTATTCATCATAGTTACACATTTACAATAACAAAAAAAAGAAGGAAAATGATGAAAAGGCGAAGTTCAGCACAAGGCTGTTTTTCAACTTAACCTGCATTTTTAAAATATTTTGTACCGCTGCAGGCAGAGACGTTATTTAATTCTACTGTTGGTAAAGTCTATGTTGCTTTCGGGAAATCCCCTAGTTCGATTATGCTAGGATTTCCGTTGTTAGGCAATTTTATGTACACGAGTGCTTTAATATAGTAGTATTTTTTATACAGAAAATATATTTATTTAATTTTAAACGATTTTATACTTTCATATTACATTCATACGTCCATTTTGAAGAACATTGAATTGTCCGAAAATTATCTGATGCTACACGAAATTATCCGAAAATCGGATAACTATCCACACATAGGCAACACTGCTAAGATAATAGAATCGTTGTCTTAGCCCTCTTACATTTAAAAATTCCGTAGCTGAGACCTACAAACGCGTATAAATCTTTGAGCATATATATTTCATAGAGTCCGCATTCAACAGCGTTTGTTTGGGTTAAGAGGGGAAATGTGTAGATACTATTTCCAGTGTCGCATCATTTTTACGGGTATTGCAATTAATATAAATAATAAATTTGATACATACTTTCAAAATTCTTTTAATTATGCACATATTTTATAAACTTGCATTATTTAAGTAGGTATCTAGTAATAGTAAATTATTATTATTATTATTATTTGTGTTGGGACACATCAGATTTTTTTTAATTCAAACACATAAAGTGTTTAATGGAAAAATGAAGGTTGAAATAATAGACAAGAAAAAAGGTGAAAAGCTTATATTTGAAAATCAAAAATATAAATAAATAGTAGGTATATTATACAAATACTTATGATATCTATTAACATACGTGTAT